GGGAACCTGCTATAAAGCACAGGAAGCTCAGCTCGGTGCTCTGTGATGACTTGGATGGGTGGGGTGGAGGAGGGTGGGAGGGAGGTCCACGAGGGAGAGGATATATGTATACATAGAGCTGATTCACTTCATTGTACAGCAGAAACGAACCCAACATTGTAAAGCAGTTATACTCCAATAAAAAATAAATACATAATAAATAAATAAAATAAAAAATAAAAATAGTCTAGTCTATGTGAGATAGATTAGTACATTTATGTGCTGTTCATCAGTGCTGATTTTTCGAATGGATGATTTGCTTGCTGTCTGAGAACATTCTTGTGGCCGGAGGAAGGCTCCATCATGAGGTCATGGAAGAATGTGTTTACCTTGTCACGTTATGGGGATGTGGCTGGAATATGGCACAGGTAGTTCAGGGATGCTTGTTTGCATGTTATTTGGTGGTAACTTAAAATATTGAGGTATAATTTACATACTGTAAAATTCGCCCATTTTAAGTGAACAGTTTAGTGTTTTTTAGTAAATTTACTGAGTTGGCAACCATCACCATAATTCAGTTTTGGAACATACACATCTCCCTCCCGTAAGATCCTTCATGCCTGTTTACAGTTAATCCTCATTCCTACTCCTAGTAATCTCAGGGAACCACCGATCTGCTTTCTGTCTCTACAAATTGCCTATGCTGGATAGTTAATGTGAATGGAGTCATATAATAGATGATCTTTTAGGTCTAGCTTCTACTGAGCATAACATTTTCGTTTGTTTTGGACACCTTTTGGGGGAAGTGGACTTACTTGGTAGAGCTCCCTTGGTCAGAAGTGGGACTTCTATTTGAAATACTGTTCTCCTGGAGAGAGAAACTTGTGACGGTTTGTTTTGGATTGAGTACCTAGAAAACTGGTGCTTGAAAAGTGCAGCTTGTGCTTGTCTTACTGTTTAAAGAGTCATTTGTTATTCCTCATTTCTCGGAAGAGAAACCCAAGACACACAACTACAGGAGTTTGCCCAGGGCCTCATGCCCTTGGTAGGGTCTCCTATGAGAACCTCAGCCTCAGGGCCCCAGAGTCAGGGATCTGACCTACACCACAGATGCTTTTTGCTTTCTTTGTGCTTCTTAAACTTTGTTGATTTGTGCTGACCTCAGCCTTGCCCTTGAGTTCTTGGTGGCTCCTTAGTTTAGTTCAGGAGCCACACTGGCCTCGGTTCAGTTCCCGCCGTATGCAACCTCATTTGCTGTTACCTTGGTCGGGTCCTTAACTTCTCTGAACTTCAGTTTCCTCATCCATGGAGTAGTCATCATAACAGCGCCTACCCTGCAAGATTGTTCTGAGGAGTAAACGAAAGAAGCACATTAAATCCCCAGACATAGCAGGGCCTCCACAAATGTTAGCTGCTGCCCCTGCTAGGAGTCTCCTTTTATTTTGAAATTCGCCATTTGCTAGCTGTGTGACATTGGATGAGTTAGTTAACGTCTCTAGGCCTCAGTTCCTCATTTGTAAAATGAGGTTAATGTGAGTGTCTACCCTGTAGTATTTATTGCTCTGAGGAGTAAATGATATAATCCATCTAGAGGGCTAAGAACAAGGCCGGGCTGTAGTCAGCATGCTTTGGTAAAAGTAGGCTGCTGCTGCTACTAATTTCTCTTGAAAGTTACCTCAGGAAGGACCCTCTATTGTAGTCAACCGCATATTTTTTGAAAAATATTTTAAGTAGGGCTTCCCTGCTGCTGCTACTAATTTCTCTTGAAAGTTACCTCAGGAAGGACCCTCTATTGTAGTCAACCGCATATTTTTTGAAAAATATTTTAAGTAGGGGCTTCCCTGGTGGCGCAGCGGTTGAGAGTCCGCCTGCCGATGCAGGGGACGCGGGTTCGTGCCCCGGTCCGGGAAGATCCCACATGCCGTGGAGCGGCTGGGCCCGTGAGCCATGGCCGCTGAGCCTGCGCGTCCGGACCCTGTGCTCTGCAATGGGAGAGGCCGCAACAGTGAGAGGCCCGCGTACCGCAAAAAAAAAAAAAGAATTTTAAGTAATGTTTTCCCCATAAGTGCATGATCACTACAAAAAAAAAAAATTTTAAGCACCAAAAAGAATATTAAAATTGGTAATTCTATCCAAATATCAGTGTTTTTAATGGCCTTGCTGTTTTCTTGTGTGTACTGTAAATCTGTACACCCCCCCACCGGTGAGATTATATGTATTTTGAAAACATAACTGAAATAATAGTGCACATCCTTCCATAGGAGTTTTTCATTTCTGCCTCTGACTTCTGTAGGTGGGCTCTGTCACAGACCTCAGAACCTCCCGGAGGTTCTCCCTGCATCTTCTGCGCGCCAAGCCTCTGGTCACTGTGTACGTGGTGACTCTATGTGCCTGACTGGTTAATGCTGGAAAAAACCCTGGCCCAGTTGTACGTTTTATTGGGTTCAATTGTTAAAGCATGTTAAAGTTTTCTACAATTAGCTTTATAAAAGGGCAACACAAGGGGTCCTTGTGCTGGGGGATGCAAGAAACTACACAGGCGATAACATCATTAGAGCTTAATATTCACACGCACACATGCTCACGCACACTCACGCGCGCTCGCGTGCGCGTTCAAGTAAAATGGGGAAATCGAGTAAGATTCCTGGATTGTAGCAATGTCAGTACCCTGGTTGTGAATATAGTGTTACAAAATGTTACGTATATGGGATCTCTGTGTTATTTCTGACATCTGCATCTGATTTATCTACACATGATTAACTACAGTGATCTCAATTTTTACAAAAACAGCTTTAAAAATATAAGTATAGGGCTTCCCTGGTGGCGCAGTGGTTGAGAGTCTGCCTGCCGATGCAAGGGACACGGGTTCGAGCCCTGGTCTGGGAAGATCCCACATGCCGCGGAGCGACTAGCCCCGTGAGCCACAATTACTGAGCCTGCGTGTCTGGAGCCTGCACTCCGCAACGGGAGAGGCCGCGATAGTGAGAGGCCCGCGCACCGCGATGAAGAGTGGCCCCCACTTGCCGCAACCAGAGAAAGCCCTCGCACAGAAACGAAGACCCAACACAGCCATAAATAAATAAATAAATAAAATTTTTTTTAAAAAGGCAAAATTCCTTAAAAAAAAAAAAAAATATATACATATATATAAGTATAATTTCCGTTTAATACAATCCCAGAGCAAAAAGCTGCTCCGAATCTTGTTCTCTTATGTTAGGGTGACATAGAACCAAGATTAGTTTAAAATGTAGCCTGGTTGTCTTTTTTTCCAGGAAGGCAGAGGACTTGGTCCTTTGAGGAGAGCAAGGGGGACATTAGCTGACCCTAGAGTCGCAGCACAAGCTTCAACACAGAGGCCTTTGTACCTGCCGGTAGATGACAGGGGACACCATGCTCTCCTAGAGGGAGCTGGCTAGAGGGCTCCTGGGTCTTGTCTGTATCGTTGCAGAGCATCACAGCTGTGCAGCATGAAAACCAACTTCTGTCTGAGGCACAGGAATCTCCACTTAAGGATTTCTTGTGACCTCGAGCTGATGATCTGTTTAGAGCAATTTGAGCTGGACTCCGTCTCCATCAAATTAAATTCTGGTTCAAACCAACCCTGTACATCTCCCTTGCTTTTCCTTGTGGGAAGAGAAGGAAACTGCCTGAGGCAATGCTCCCTCCAGTGGCTGGAGGGTTCCTGCCATAAAGCACTGGGTAGAGGAGAAGCCAGCAAAGGAACCTCTGCTCATCCCCCCAGCCCCCAGCTCTGAGGGCCCTGTGTTGGGAGGGTTTCAGATTTGGAGCCAGATTTCAGGTCTCCTCCTTAAGCTAGAAAATCATTCCAACAGATCAGATTTCTCTGCGCTCACCCACTAGGATGATCTCTACTTGGATTTATAAAATATTTAGAGACCTATTGCTCTCCAGTTGCAGTTAGCCATTAGTAACGCTACTGAGTTTGGTTTAGCAATACACTTCAGTTCCCAAAGGCCTTGCGTGGGCTGTGACTGCAAGTGGGTTGTTGCGAAAGCTAAGTTCTCTACGCTTAAAAGAGTGATTTTCTTGAGTCTTAGTTATGAGGAGTTACTAACAAGTTATTATGTAGCCCCTAAGTGGCTGGTTTCAAAAAATTTTACACTTTGGCTCTAAATCCGTTTGCTTTTACTCCTTCCTCCTCAGAATAAAACCCATGCTACCTTCATGGTATTTGGACTACAAATGGACTACTTGCCATTGATTTAAAATAAAACAACCCTGAGATTTTTCTGGAGACTAAAGCCTCCTTTCAGTGCACACCCATTTTCTCCAGTGGAAGAACACAGTCCTAAAGTGGCCTGCAGACAGCCTCTTAAGGCCTCTTAAGCAAATGGCATATGTCATGAAATACCGTATGTGAGAGTATTGGGTGGGAGTGTGGATTAAGAAAAAAAAAAAATCTGTCACCCTGGTTTTCATGGTTTGGAAACCAGTTGCATAGCCTTAGAATTTAGTCCATTTGGGGAAGAGTGGGCTGTGTGCCATTATGAAATTATCAGCTAAGGCTGTTTAATAATTATCCCAAGAGCTGCTTTGGGAAGGACCCAGTCTATCCACGTAGTTGGGTCTGTACAGTGAGTGGGTTCGAGATCCTGTGGATCTTTCTGACGGTTCATACCTCAGTCGCTGTGCTGCTGACCCACTTTGGTTTGCTGACCGTATACGAAGCCAGACCCCTTTCCACTCCAGCGCCCTGCCCTCAGCACCACCCCCGAGTGTGCACGTGCATATGTGCACGTATGCACGCGCACACACACGCGCACACACACACACACGCATGCAGCGTCAGGACTTTGCAGTGAATAGTAGACCCCTGCCTCCTCACCCCACAGCTTGAATCTTTTTTCTGGAACTGGGGAACGAAACCTGGTGGGGCTGAACCCAGCAAAACCAATCACGCTTTGTGCCCAGTATAACTTTAGAGTCACTTTTTTAGGTGGGTTGTTTGTTTGGCAGGCTTGTAGCATCAGTAGTTTCATTGTCATTTTTATTTCTTGCAGTTTTATGTGCTGAAAGAGTTGGCCAGATGACTAAGACATATAATGACATAGATTCTGTAACTCGGCTTCTTGAGGAGGTAAGTGATTTGGGGCAAGGCAAACAGTCATTTATAACTGATTATAATTTATATCAATTAAAGCATACATCGCTATCTTTCTTGGTGAAGAATCTCAGCAGCTGAGCCCTCTCAGCATATAATTCAGTGGCTTTATTTTATCTTTTGAACTGAGAGCTATGTTGGCTTCTGTCACTGTAACTTTGTACAAGGTATTTTGGATTTTAAAAGGAATGTGTTAATGACACAGAATAGGGTGGCATTTAAATACTTGCTATAGAATACCCTGTTTAAGATTTATAAACCCTTAAAATATATACTAATGATATATGTTAAGTGTATACAAAAAATGTCAGAAAAATACATCATTATCCATATCTTTGTAATGTTTTAGTTGCATTTTGTTATGTTTTTATTTACATCAGGTTAAGGGAATATTCTTATACAGTGTCAGCATGGAAATAACCAAATCAAGCATATGGCAAGGAAAATTTTAGGAAACATGCTTGGGATTAGATGAGCTGCAGTTAGTTCAGAGACTATGCTTTTCTCAATTTCTTCTCAGCATTCTGTTGACAGTTGAGAATTAAGGTGCTATGGTGGCCTCTGGAAGCAGATGAGTGTAATGTGTGTATCCCCATGCCTTCAACAGGCCAGAACATGGTAGGTTCTCAGTATTTATTGAGTAAGTGCCCATCTTAAAGCACTACCTCCCACTCTCCCCACAAAATCAGACCTCAGATGCAGAGGTGCTAACCTTTTTTTTTAAAGATTTTTTTTTTTTTTTGATGTGGACCATTTTTAAAGTCTTTATAGAATTTGTTACAATATTGCTTCTGTTTTATGTTTTGGTGTTTTGGACCCGAGGCGTGTGGGATCTTAGCTCCCTGACCAGGGATCGAACCCGCACCCCCTGCATTGGAAGGCGAAGTCTTAACCACTGGACCGCCAGGGAAGTCCCAGAGGTGCTAACTTTTAGACCCTGGTTTCTGCTCTAGAATCTAGAATGAGGGGTCATGTGACTGTTCATTAGCCCTTCTTGTGAAAGAGAGTAGAAAGATATGAGAGACACAGAAATCATCATTTTCAGCCAGTGGCAGGACAAAGTTGAAACACAGGACCAAGCAGGAGTGTGGGACCTGAGGTTTTTCAGTGGGGGGCATCTTTTCATACCTTTTTTTTTTTTTTTCCTTTAATTTATTTACTTATTTTTAGCTGCGTTGGGTCTTCGTTGCTGCGCACGGGCTTTCTCTAGCTGCGGTGAGCGGGGGGCTACTCTTTGTTGCGGTGCGCAGGTTTCTCATTGCGGTGGCTTCTCTT